GCTTGTTCACAGAGACAAGTATCGCAGGTTAAGATTTTCTTTTTTGTCCAATTATGCTTTCACTATTAATTTAATGTTATTTCATTGTGGTAATTTTTTGAGGTTATTTGTCCATATCGTGAAAGTTGGCTTAGATAAAACTTAAGGCAGCCAGATGACCTGCAAAGCCTCACAAGGAAGGAATGGGAGGGGGTATCCCTTTGGTCTAGGGAATATAATTCCCCCTCCCTGACTTCCCTGTATGAGACATCACGTCATATCCTAACATCACTGTCTATCCTTTTAGTAAATGTTAGTAATAATAAAATTATTTCATGTATGGGGACCAACAAATTGGAGGTTGCCCCAAAAGGACTAAATTATTTAATAAAAAAGTAAAATTATCAAACAGAAGAAACTAAGCAGATAAATGAGATAGTCTCAGGAAAGGACTTATGAAGAAAAAAATAATTGAAGAAAACAAAAATGTCACATTAGGGTTGATATCTACATTATATTAAATTGCCTTTTGTGAATACCCCAGTAAGAAGTTGAACAATGAACCAACAATAAGGTTCCATATTTTCCCATAATATACCATGATGATTTCGAGGAATGAGTGAAGACAGGGAATATATAAAATGGAGTCATTTTCCTAGCTACTAAAATTATTAACATGATGAAGTTGGGGGCATGAAGAAAGACCATTCTTGTTCTAACTAGACTGCAAACTTAAACTTTTTTTAACTTTCCACCCCTGGGCCAATGCCTAGATATACATCTGAACCTTCCAATAACCCTCTAATTACTCCCTGAAGGGCTCACATTTCCAGGCCATCTGATCACCTCTCTGAAGAGCTTGCATATGCATCCGCCCTGACATCCATTATCTAGACCACAGGGACTGACCAGACCTCCTGGAATCCATCACCCCTACTGCTGTTTATCCGACTGATAACCGACCAGGACCAGTCCTAGGGCTAAGGATGCTGGACTGATAATTCTCAAGAAAGCACATTTTAAAAAATACTGACCTGAGGATATGTTTATTGACTGAGAGAGAGAGAGAGAGAGATGTGAAAAACATCTATCAGTTACCTCCCATGTGGGCCCCAACCAGGGATGGAATCTATAACCTAGGTACATGCCTTGACCGTGGATTGAACCTGAGATATTTTGGTTAATGGGATGATGCTTCAACTACCTGAAGAACACAGCCAGGGGTTTTTCAAGAAAATACCTCTTGCCATAAGAACTTTTCACTTTGTTTTCTGCTTTGGGACACTTCTGGGGTTTTGCTTAGCTGTGTTTCCAGGTTGCAAACATTAAGACCCTTGAATAGGTCTCTATCATTTATTTCTGGCAAAGCCTCCAGATTCTTTTTGAGTTTAAAAACTTCAACACACTGAAGAAGAACAATCATATAATTTAAAAGAGTTCTATGAGAATTTGATTATAACAATAGAACATTACTTTATTATGTGTCATGTAATTCTAAGTATTTTACTTGTAGCAAGTCATTGACATTTTATTACCATATCATATGGCAGCACTATGGTAGTTTTCTGGTCAAGGCAGAGTCAGGTGAATTTGGCCAACTATCATAGTTTGTAGGAGGGAGCAGGATTGACTTGTCCAACTGTCAGAGTAGACACAGAGCCTTGGGCTCATCATTCTTTTGTGTGTTATGTGCTGTTGAGTTGTCTCTTTTTAATGAGTGACGCCCAATGTCCTGTCCTCGATACCCCTGCTTAGCTCCTGCAGATTTCCACCTATGGTTTCTTTTATAATGTCAATGCATCTCAAATTTGATGGTTCCTTTCCCTGATGCCTTCTATCCCCAGCATTGTTGTTATTTTCAGAGAACCCTGACTCTCATTTGGTGTCTGAAGTAAGAGAGCTTCAGTTTTGTCATTTTTTCTTTCAGTGATGTTTCAGGCTTTGTTTTCTCTAGGTCCCACTTGTTCACCTCCCTGGTGGTCCAGGGTATCAGTGGAATTCTCCCACGTTGTATGAAAATAAATCAATTTTTTCCTTTCAGCATTCTTCACTGTTCATTTTTCATGTTCATACATTGTAATTAGGAATACAGGGATGTGGCTAATCTTAGTTTGGTCTCTAATAACACATCTATGCTCTGGTGATCTTTCCTAATTCTTACATTGCTGCCCTTTCAAGTGTTAGTCTTCTCTTGATTTCTTGGCTGCAGTCTCCATTTGGAACTGGTGATTGATCCAAGGTCAGCAAAATCTTAACAATTTTGATGTCTTCATTGTTTATATCAAAGTGTACTTCTTCCATAGTCATGATTCCTTTCTTCTTCATGTTCAAATGCAATTCTGCTTTGTCACTTCCTTCTTTCACTTTCATCAGAAGTTGTTTCAAATCATCATACCATACTTTTAGGGGCCCATAAAAATGTTTTAATTTCTTTTAAAATGAGAAGGAAAACAAGTTACCAGTAATGTTGAGGCTGAAGAAAACATTTTAATGTATAATATACCAATATGTTCATCTTTATATCAATGCAGTTATAAATATAATTTTAAATATTATTTTATGGAAGAAGAGACCCACAAAACTAAAAGTATCTAGGGCCCACAAAAGTCTGAATGTAGCCCTGTATGGCAGAGCTGCATTTTGATCCCAAGTAATGTGACACCAAACCTAGGTTCTTTCTGAGAGGCAATTGTCAATATGTTTCATAAGAGCTAAAATTATTCATACCTTTGATTACTTTTTAAGGATTTAAACTAGACAGTTAGGACATGGACAATGATTTATGAAAGACATTTATTTATAATAGTGTTTATTTGAAACCAAACAAATATGTAATAATAAAAGGCTGGTTCAATTTTGGCTGTCAACATAGGGGCCTGGGTGAGTACTAGGAGCTTATGAACGGAATTGAAGAAAGTGGGAAACAGAACTTGGGATTGCTATGAGTGAGGGTGAACAGAGCAGGGAATAGAAGGAAGCCTGTATGCATCCAGAGACAGACTGTAGATCTCTGCTAGACACATGCATTAATGACTGAGAGGCACTTGCAAGCATCTTCTTGAACTTATTTTTAAAGGGACTGGACAGGTGAAGAAAAGGTGAGGGAAAGATTAGAGGAAACTGCTCCATAAAGCAGAGATCAGTGAGCACAGAGGGCTCTGAAACATTTTCATAATGGGTGACTGGACATTCAAGCATAGAGGCCTTGAACACCATGTTAACCTTTGTCTTGAAAGCACTGAGGGGTCAATGAAAAATTTTAAGCAGTGGAGTGACATGCTCAGATGCATATTTTAGAATAATCATTGTAAATATAGTGTGCTTCAAATCCAGGGATGATGTCACAGGATGCAATGGAGAGAAAAGAATGGGCATCCATTCAATCGAGAGATGTTTACTGAATCCTACAAATATTCACAGAATGTAATGCTATTCTTGGTACATGATTCTTTTACAAGCTTAGTTATGATGGGAGAAGAGAGAGAAGAAGAAAGAGAGTTTAAAGTCAAGGGAAAATTTAAGAAAAAAAGACTTATACAGCCATTGTGCTGAGGAGTTTTGACAATGGAAAATGTAGGCTTAAAGACTTGCCAAGGAGAGAGTAGATAAGCCACAGGAGCAAGCAGACAGTGAAGAATGTCACTTTGAGGAAGAGCAGAGGCACCCAGGCTGGAGACAGAAGAGCACTAGTCAGCCACGGTATGGATGGAAGTAATTTGTCGGTTTTGGGTGAGACAGTTGGGCAAAAGATGTAGAAATTCATGCTTAATGGTCTTTATTATGCCTCTAAAGTAGAAGACCAGGGTGTGGATCTCAAGAAGGACTCATCGTGGTTAATCAGGCTCAAATTCATATCCACTGCATATAAGGGAAAAGCTGGAGAGTTGGCTGCCAGCCTCCTGCACTGGGCTCCTGCCATCTGAGCACACACTTACAAAGAGGCTCCTGGTACTGTATTCCAACCAATGGACTGAGATCTTCCCTCTCCAACTGGAGCTGCACCCTCATTTGCATCTTTACCAACTAATCAGAGTGGTTCCATAATGACTAATCAAAACACATGATTCTGACCAATCTGGACAGTGTAATTTGGACCGAACTGTGCAAATTTGGATTCCTCATTTGCATAGAAATGGAAGGATCAGGGACCAGGGCAGACACTTCCTCTATATAAGGGACCTCCCAGTGATCTGTTGGAGCACATCATTGGTTTCCTCTGGGTCCTGTTTTTCCCCAGTTACTAAACTGTTCACCTGAATAAAGTCTCTCTTTTTACCACACCCCATATTGGGTACTCCTGTTGGTTGGCTGGGTGACAGCAACCTTTTGTTGACAAGACCATCTGAATAATGTGGTCACCACGGACTTCATTTGCTAGGCAGCCTTTCTTTTAAAAGCACAGAAAGAACAGCATCTGTATTTTGTACAAATGGGTATAACAGGCCTTGCCTCATGGAACTGACTGACCCCTGTAGTTGCTCAGTGTTTTGTCATTCTACTTATGCAGGGCAGGGTGCAAGATTTGGTGACTAATAACAGGTGATAGCCCTCTGCTGATGGCAGTTTTTTACTCTTGTAATGGGTTCTCAAGAGCCCAGCTTGGTCAAGTGGTGCTTATTTAGAGTTCACCCTTGCTATAAAGCGTTTCAGAGGACCGCTGGTGCCCGAGGTCCTCCCAGGAGAAGACGCACTGCTCCGCCCCAGCCGGAAGGTCACGTCAGCGGCAGGCCCCTCGAGCCCGCGGAGCCTCTCCCCAGTCTCCGCCCCTCCACGGCTCTAGCCCCGCCTCGAGCTCCAGGCCACGCCTACCACTGCTCGGGGCTCCGCCTTCCTCTCCTATTGGCTGGTCTTGCACATTCCCTGAACGCCCGGAAGAGCCGGTGGAGCGGACTTTTCCAGCGGCGTCGCCGGCGCCCTGGCTGCGCATGCTCGGGGAAGCGAGTCCGGTCGGGATCTGTGGGCCGGGTGGCGCGCTCGCGGGGAGGGAGGTGTGGGTCGGCGGGGGCGGTCGCGGTGGGGCGGGTGGGGGGAGGGCCGGGTAGCGACAGCGCTTTCGAGCGGTTGCGGGCGGCCTGGCTGCGGGACCGCGCCTGCGGCGAGATGGCGGTCCTGGGCGCCGAGGGCTAAGGCGCCGCCGCCTGGGGACGCGCCTCTACGAGCTCGGGAGCCGGTGAGGACGCCGGGGCGCCGACTGGGCAGGGGGCGGGTTGGACCCTGAGGCTGAACGTTTGGCCCGGGTGGACCTCTGCGGGGCGGGGGACGCGGGACTGCCGGGTGGCCCTGACACAGGCCGAGCGAAGTGTCCCGGTAAGTCGGCAGGGCGGCCGCCCAGCTGCTCACCTTGTCCCCCTGCCACTCTGAGACACTGGGTCCACTTCCTGCTTGCGCCCAGACCCCCATCGCTGCCAGTGTCACCCCATCCTACTAACTGCAGCCCCAGCGCACCCCACCTCCACCCCGGTGACCCGCCAGGTCCCGGTGACCTTGCAGTTTTTGCTACCGACTCAGACCTTCTGCCGACCTTTACAAGATGTTAATTTTGTAGTTGGCTCATCGTTTTGCGACCTTTGAGGAATTGTCCTGTGCTAGGTCCTCTTTTTTACCCCGTCGTCTGGGAGTGAATCTGCCTTCGCTCCCGTGATAACCAGACAAGACCACTGTCAGGTTGACATTTTTACTCTTCCAAAGGCTTGGCATGGCTTTTTTTTCCTGTTCGATAAGTTTTGTAGTGTGTGTGTGTGTGTGCGCGCGCACACAGCCTAATGTTGAAAAGGATTTGAGTTTGTGTTTTAAAATGCTGTTGGTAATAGAGGTGGAAGAGAATGTCCAAAGTTCTTTCTCCCCCTTTGGTGTTTTTACCTAAAACACTTGGATGCACATTTTCACAAGAGTTCACACTTACTTTAAATCAACCTTATTTGTCGCACTGAGTCTGTGTATTATACAAGCAGAATGTATCTTTTAAAAAAGAAAGGTATTCTTTTATGTATGTGATTTGTTTTTAGCCGTAAAGTAGTAAATTAGCTGTCATGGAAATGATCACTTTTCATAAAGTTAGTATTTTTTCAAATTAAAAACTTAGTGGCCAAGTGTTGGGAGCTACTCAGACTGAGAAGTGTGAAGTAAATTGAAAAGTTCTTTCAGATGTAGCTTATTGACATTTTCAAATAGTTCTTCCTGGACTTTGAAAAGTAGAAAGTAAGGGCTATGTTTTGGAAGCCTGGTGTGATAGAGGGTGTCACAGATAAAGTCTCTGCCTTCAAAGAGAGAGTAGTCTAGTGTTCACCTCTCAAAATCTGAAATTTCTTTTTAGTTACTAAGCACCTACTGCTTGACTGTGGTGGGTATTTGGGGAATATAAAGGTGTGCATGATGATGGTTTCTGTCTTCAGGGACTAGTTAGGTGGGTAGGACTATACATACATGCCTCATTTGCCTTTTTGTTTTTAATCCTCCCCCGAGGATATGTTTTTATTCATTTTAGAGGGGTGGGGGAGAGAAACGATTGGTCATCTCCTGTATGCACCTTAACCATGCATGGAACCCATATGTGTGCACCCTGATGGGGGATCGAACTCTCAACCTTTTGGTGCACAGCACTAAGCTACAAACAGCTGACCCACCTGGCTAGCGCTTATTTGTCTTTTAATAGGTAGTTCAGGTACCTGCAGAATTCAGATTTAAAGAGGGTAAAGCCCACATTTCATTTGGGAAGGTGGGGTTTCGTGGCTTGTGAAATCTTTCAGGATGATTAAGAATCTTGGCAGGCAGGGAAAGGCAATCCCAGCAGAGAGAAGGGACTAAGAGCACAGAGATCATACATCTGGGGAGACGGAAATAATTATGTATGGATGGAACATAAAGTATCTGTACCAGTAGTGAGAGTGATAAAGCTCGAAGTAAAAATTGGACCAATTTCTATTTGCTTTTAATGCAGGCTAATGACCTTGGATTTGGTAGGTGTTGGGGGTTTTACAGATGACTTTGAGTTGGTAATGTAATGTAAAGCAGTTGTCAGATGGTTAATCTGGCATCTGTGCAGTGTGGATTGAAGTAGAGAAAACTTGGAGGCAGAGAGATCTCGTGATTGCTGTAGTCATAGATAGCGAGGGGCTGAGCTGTGGCCGTAATTATTAGGAATGAAAGGAGGAAGAAGTAGATTAGACAGAATTGATGATGAGAGAGAAAATGAAGAGAATAAAAATAATTAGGTTTTTGATTCAGGTTATTTAGGAGGATAGTGGTACTGTTTTGAGCACATCCACAGAAGCTTTATCTTTGGCATGTGTTACTTTGTAGCAGGAGTTCTCAATCTTTTGGGGATTAATGATTTTTGGTGAAATTAAAGAAACCTGGCCTGGAAAATTTCCATATAAACCTGTGCTTTCTGCTTTTAATTTTAGAGAGTCTGTGGAGAGTCTGCAGCTTATCTAAGGAACCCATGGGCCAGTGGGTTGGCCTCGAAGCAGCTGTCAGAATTACTTGGGGGCTTCTAAAACATCAGAACCTTCAGATTCTTCCATTTTCTGCTTAGAACCCTTACAGTACAGACACACTGTATTTATACTTAGGCGGACTATCTCCTTACACTGTGTTGTTGTTTACAGTGAATTTTGACTGACATGGTATTTGCTATTATGTTACAGAGCAAACTAGCCCAAGAGGTTAAATCATTTGTCCCAGGTATTTCAATTAGCAAGTGTGTAAAGTGGACTCAGGAGTTAATTTCTTTTTCCTATGATGTATGCAACTGATTTATCATCATTGGATATAGTTACTGCTTTAAGTGACCTTGTCAGTGAACACTAGATGATCTTGGGAGGTTCCTTCCAGTTAACAATTTGTGATTCTTGGCTCTTAGGTTTTCAATGGACTGTCTGTGTGGACCCATCTTCTTTCCATATGCTGGAGTGCTGGTGAGGCTTAGGGATGAATCGGGTGTATGGAGAGCAGGTAGTGGTATTAGGCCAGTCATTTACTTATTTATTTCCTTTGTAATCTCAGTCTGGATTGGAGGATGGGGTAGGGTGGGGTAGGAAGGAAAGTAAATGAAATAAGAAACTTTAAAAACTTATTTTTTTCTATTCAGGTATGCCCTACGTAAGAATCCCCCTGTTCTCTATTCAGGAAGCCTTTATCAAGTAAAAATGGAAACTTTACAAAATAAATGAAGTACTGGGACCTAGTCAGTGAATTTTCTTATTGGATTAAGTAACTAACCATCCCTAGTATGGTTACAGTGTAATTTGATGAGTAAACTGTTGACTTTTCTGCACCTATAGATTATTTTCCTGGTAGGGAACAAGGGAAGGTTATTACTTAATATCTTTTATAGCTCTTCTGTAATTATTAGAAAGACTGGAGTCTTCTTTACTCTTTCTATAAAAATATGTAATTATAACAAGCAGTGGGAAAACTAATAAATTGGAAATGATAGTGATACATATTTTGCAGTAACTAGTTCCTAAAACTTAAAGGAGGAAAATTGTCTAACAGAAGCACTACATGGATGATTTCCTGTTCTTCTGACATTAGAAGAATATGATATTTATATTTCATTTTACATTTTTTTCATAATGCAGTACAAACTTTATCATGTGGTTCTCATTACAGCCGAGCAATAGGTCTGTCAGGTGCTAGTCATTGTTTTTTAGATGAAGAGCCTGAGGCTTAAATAAGTGAAAAAAGTTAAACTTCCAGGGTATCTAGCTAGTCAGTGACTAAAATAGAACTGGAACTATAGCACATATTTGTGTTCCTGGGTCAGTATTCTTTTCCCAATGACTCTTCAACAGTGTAAATGTAGTTGAAGGCTGTGGGTGAGGAGTCTGAAGTTACCTGTTTGGAATCTGTGTTACACATTTGTAGTGTGTAAATTTGAACTTGTCTCTTTCCTCCTTGTTTAAATGCTAATCTCATTGCATGGCTTTTGGTAGATAATTTTGAGATTTATAAGAATTTAGCACAAAATAGTTATCTTCCTGTAAAGGAAAAAGCAAACGTTGATTTCTCATTTAAAGAAATATTTTCTTTATTAAGTATTATAAGTATTTTTGTTCCTTTTGAAACTTGTGGATTTTAATTGAGTTACTTTTACAGATGATGTTTGTTCTTGTATTTATTTAAGATTTTATTTATTTACTTTTAGAGAGGGGGAAGAGAGGGAGAAAGAGAGGAAGAGAAACATCAATGTCCAAGAGATACATTAACCTGTTGGCTCTCACATGCCCCTAACCGGAATCCCAGCCCACAACCCTGACCGGGAACTGAACCGATGAAGTTTGTTCTTTCATAAAAGCCTGCTCTATGAAATTTTGTATTTTTGGAGCAAATAAATCAGAATCTGATTTCCAAAAGTCTATATCATGATATTGCATGATTTTTACCATTACATAAAAAACTTTATCATTAAAAGAAAGATTTACCATAAAAAAGCTGTTAGTATGCACTTCACATTCATGTTTAAACAACTTTTGGGGGAATAAATTATGTAAAAACATATGTCAGATAGTTCCTAATTTATAAAGAAGACTAGTATTTGTCTTAACATTCCTAAAATCTGTTATTTGCTCACAGCACATACTTGTGTACCTACTACATGTCAGACATTGTGTGAGGTGCTGGGGGTCCAGTGCTAAGATGACACACAGGAAAACCTGTCCTCCTAGAACTTGAAATTTAGTAGAGTCACCGTCAAGAAGGGCATAAAGGCCCTGGCTGGTGTGGCTCAGTAGATTGAGTGCCAGTCTGCAAACCAAAGGGCCACTGAATCGATTCCCAGTCAGGGCACATGCCTGGATTTTGGGCCAGGTCCTCAGCAGGGGGCCCACGAGAGGCAACCACATATTGATGTTTCTTTCCCTTTCTCCCTTCCCCCTTCTAATATAAATAAATAAAATCTTTAAAGAATTTTTAAAAATGAAGAAGGGCATAAGGGCATTGTCTTTATCTTCTGGGATTGTGTGAGTATTTGGAATTATAGTTACAGGCATAGCTCAGAGATACTGTGGGTTTGGTTCCAGACACCACATTAAAGCAAGGTCTCATCTTTTTTGCTGGTGGAGGTTCTTGTCTTCCAATTGTAAAGGAAAAAACAAACAAACAACCCCCCAGCACCTGTAAAGTTCAGTAAAGCGAGGTATGCTTGTAACTACACTCCCTTTTTCTGGG